GACTTTTGACAGATCGCTTTGAAAGACCCATCCAATCCTGACATAAAGACACTAAGTGATGGAAAATCCACCATGTCCTTAGGCTAGTTAATTCCCTTCACTATTAAAAATTTGCACCTTATTTCTAATCTGCTACATTGATTATGTTTTCATCAGAATGTCATGCAGGGCCAAGTCAGACGTCTAAAGATATTATCTCAACGTAATTACCTTTGGCAACCAAATAGGTGAGCTTATTAAAAAACAACGTCAATGTTATTTGACATGAACTATTTCCCGTGAAACCTTGTAGATTGTCGTTAATTACGCTACCACCTTTTAATTCTTTACTAATTGTATATCATATCAGCCTTGTGGTGACTGTGCCCAGGACTGATGTCAGGCTAATCACTCTATAGTTACTCAAGTCATTTCATTTCTCATTTTAAAATACTGGCACAACGGTCACGTTTTGCCCAGTCCCCTGGAACTTTTCCAGTGTTTAAAAAAACTCTGAATATTGACATTAATGGCTCAGTGAGCTCCTTGGCCAATTCTTTTAAAACACTTTTAAAACAAACTTTCCAAGTCCTGCAGATCTGAAAACGTTTAGCTGCAGCAGCTGCTGTTTAAGTCCTCCCTGGTTACCCCTGGAATAGAAAGTATTTCATTCGCACTGCACAGCGTGATGCACAAAGCTTTCACTGGGCTCTGACTCAGGAGATCTGGCCTCAATTCCCAGCTCCACCACAGACTCCCCGTATGACCTTGGACAAGTCCAAGTCACTTTGTGCCTCAGTTTCCCCCATCTGTAACAGGAGAGTGAATGTAAGGCTCCCTTCATGGCCAGTTGTCAGATGCTGGGATATAATGACCGGCACCGAAGGGAAGTTAATAAATAATGCTTGTGAAAAGAGGGAGCAATTTACTTTGAGGGACGAGGTATTTGTGGCAGCTTGGCCCCGATTCACCATTGTGCTAGGGAGGCAGCGTGGTCAACTGGCTAGAACACGCTCACTTTAGGTGCTAGCTGGAGCAGAGCTAGTGCATGTACAAATTACAACGCCGAGCTGCAGTGTAGACATGTGGGGAATGGATCAGCGTTTGCGTCACACTCCACGGCAGTACCCAGACCAGGCCAACAAATGATCCAATCAGCGAACCAAATACGGCGCTGAATCCTGGTCACATGCTGCCCAAGGCACGTTGCACGTATGTTAACAAGTGTAGACGTGCCTAAGACCGCTTGACACCATCCTGGCAGTGGAATGGGGCCTCAGAATTGGAGCTGGGAGGAATTTTTTAAACACTTTTTTGTGGGGAGAAAATGGTATTTTTGGAACATGGAAATGTACATGATTGTCTCTAAATTTTCCATGTTTTCAAAGAAATCCAAAAATGAACAAAATCGTTCCCCCCTTTCCCCCTCCAGCCCCCATTTTGGCTGGAATTTCCCCCCAAAATACATCAGTCCAAGGCAGACATCCAGTATGGACAATTTTACCCCAAAGGGTTAACATTTGGCAAAGGCCTACGCCCCTGAAAACAGGGATTTACAATGAGAACTGCCTGGCAACCTCAGCTATAGGCATCACTTGCAAACTTGCCTATGATACCCCTACAGTATAAAGACCAGGAGTACTTGTGGCACCTTAGAGACTAACACATTTATTTGAGCTTAAGCTTTCATGGGCTACAGCCCACTTCTTCGGATGCATGCAGTGGAAGATACAGTAGGAAGATATATATATACACAGAGAACATGAAAAAATGGGTGTTGCCATACCAACTGTAACAAGGGTAATTAATTAAGGTGAGCTGTTTGATGAGCTATTATCAGCAGAAGAAAAAAAACTTTTGTAGCGATAATCAGTAGTACTCCAACAAAAAAACTTCAAAACCAGACTCCAACGAGAAACTGCAGAACTGGAATTAATTTGCAAACTGAACACCATTAAATTAGGCTTGAATAAAGACTGGGAGTGGATGGGCCATTACACAAAGTAAAACTATTTCCCCATGTTAATTTTTCCCCCTACTGTTACTCACACCTTCTTGTCAACAGTTGGAAATGGGCCGTCCTGATTATCACTACAAAAGTTTTTTTTTCTTCTGCTGATAATAGCTCACCAAACAGCTCACCTTAATTAATTACCCTCGTTACAGCTGGTATGGCAACACCCATTGTTTCATGTTCTCTCTGTGTGTATATATATATATATCTTCCTACTGTATGTTTCACTGCATGCATCCGATGAAGTGGGCTGAAGCCCACGAAAGCTTATGCCCAAATAAATGTGTTAGTCTCTAAGGTGCCACAAGGACTCCTCATTGTTTTTCCTGATACAGACTAACACGGCGACGCCTCTGAAACCTGTCACCTTTACACCTAGTATAACCTTTCCCCATCATTGGCCCCCTGCTGCCCCCATGTGGTCATTGTACAGTATAGCTGTCCTGTTCCCCATCCCTCCGCTTCCTGCTGCCCCCCTCTGGTCATTGTACAGTGTAGCTGTCTCTGCTTTCCCATCCCATATCCCCTGCTGCCCCCATGTGGTCATTATATAGCATCGCCCTCCCTTCCCCCCCTCTGGTCATTCTATAGAATAGCAGCCCCTGACACCTGCATCCGAAGAAGTGAGGTTTTTACTCACGAAAGCTTATGCCCAAATAAATCGGTTAGTCTTTAAGGTGCCACCAGACTCCTTGTTGTTTTTGTAGATACAGACTAACACGGCTACCCCCTGATACTTTCTCCTTGTGGTCATAGGACAGACCAGCGCCTTTACCCGGTTAAAAGTGATCTGATCCAGGGCCGGGGAAGAGTTTGGAGCCTGGGGCATGACCCCCACCTTGGAGATGAGGTTTAAGAAAGGAACAGAGTCTAATGGCTTCTCTGTGCTGTGGCAAAACTTTTTAAATGCGCTGTACTGAGGCGCTACCTACCCCTGCCCTACACTCAAACCCTGAGCCAGCCCCCCCAGAAAACACCCCCCTAGCTGCTGTTTACAACCTTTCAACTCCTTTGGCACCCCTGCCCCCTTGGGCACCTGCTGGCATGTAACCCCCAACTTTCACTCCCCCTTCACCAAATCATCCGCTCGACCATCTCCTCCCACCTACCCACTAGCAAGAAAAGAACTGCTGTCCCAGGCTGGCTGGCTGGCCCTTTAAGGGGAGCTGGGCTCATCCCCACTTCCCAGCCCCACCTGATCCTCATCAGCCACCCCAGGGCCCCGCTGGGAGTGGGCTTGAAAGCCCAGAGCTTAGCAGGGGCAGAGGCTGCTAGGATGACACTGACTTCGGCTATCCCGGGCAGGACTTTCTGGCTGGAGGAGCCGCCTCACCAGCCCACAGCAGCGCCAAGGAGCCGCGGGAGCCAGATGGAGGGTGAGTGATGCTCTTGGGCAGTGCGTGGCATTGAAGGGGGGGGCACTCTGGGGTGGCCGGACTCTCCCATTCCAGTTAATGAAGTTTTCCTAATGTAATTCAGGCCCAGCTCCTCCAGGATTTTGAGGTGCCTAAGTCCCCATGAGGGGCTGGGTCTAAGAGCTGGGTTTGTTACAGCCTGAACGAACAGGGGGTTTAGCTTCCCCCTGAGTGGGACCAGGGGGAAGCTAAACCATGATCAGCCCCACCCTTGCAGCAGCTGGTGTCCATCTGTCAGAGCTGGGCTAACGAGGCTGGTGTGAATCTGAGTGTAGATGGGGCTGGGGGCCCCCCACTCTCAGCACGTCGCTGCCCATGCCCACGGGCTGTATCAATGCTAAATTATAAAAACCTCCCAGGGCGAGATCAAAATAAGTCTGTATCAGCCGATGTTCATCACCACCGAGACGACCACTAGGGGGGAGGCAGGAGATTTGTGGGGGAGTAGGGTGAAGAGGGTACAAGGAGGGGACACCAGTGTGGTTTCTGGTGCTCAGGGTCATTCCCCACTCAGATTTCACACACACCACACCCCCCCAGCCAGGCTGATACGGACAGGATGCTTTGCCAGCGGGTTGGTCTTTCTGCTCTCCATGGCCCAGTGGCTGCTCTGCCCCGACCCGGTTCCCCGGGAGGAGATTCTGCGTCTCCTCCCCCCCGCCCAGGAGATGGTGGCTGGGGTACAGCCAGAGGGAGTGAGGAGCCAACCACCAGGAGGGGGCAGAGGGCAGGC